GAGCATTTGATGTTGTGTGAGCCATTTGAGGTGTCACATTTGAGGCACTAGGCACTCAAGCCCCATGGAGTCAAGCTACACTACAAAAGGTATGTATTTTACCTATATTATTACCCAAGTATCTATGATTGTATGCTAGATAGGGTAATACCTTGGAATATTAGCATTTGCATGTATATTAGAGAAAACATAGATCCAAGGTATTTAGGGTTGCATGTACACCATAGGAGTGTTAGAATGCTCAAAACCCAACAGTTCTGACGTTTGAAGCAATTCGTAACAGAGGTCTACGCAACATAGACTTATGAACTTGGTAGTGACTACCCTCTTAATGAAGTTATGGAATCTGGTTTACTGTTACTTAGCTGATATGATAAAGGCAATAAGCCTGACACATAGTGTGAGTAGTGTAATCACTAACTCACTAGATCACATTAGTTAGTTACATATTAGTATGACGTATATGGTGCTCTACCACCTTGCGCGCCTCGGGAGGGTTCCTGTCCTAGTTATGATGGTCCTGAATTCAGCTGGGAGGGTTTGTTGTCTCTAAACTTTCCTATTTTTTCCTATTCACTGCAGCTCATCGGGTTCTACCACAGATCTCCATCACCTCCTGATGGAAAATTTTCCTCCTCGTATGATTCCTCTTCGGAATCCACTTTACGAACCCTCTCTTATTCCTTATTGACTTCTCTGTTGGCGGTTGGAGTGGCTATCTATATATAGGTTGTTCGCGTGGGAATGGGGATGTCTAAAGAATCCTATGAGATTAAGTGGAACATTTCTTCTGTAGTTATTGATGATTTAAACTGGGTCCTTCTATAGTCAAGCAGTGCATGCAAGCTGTATATAACCAAGATCAAATAGACTTTCGAATAGGTGATCCTACTCCAAAACCACAACCAAACAAGGAACAGCTAGTAGAGCGTAGATCACCAATTCTGAGTCTATAAGATCCCAATTATATATAACCCTGGAAGCATGCACTTCACAACTATAGACCTGCCAGTAAATGTCTTTTAGTTCTCATTCAAGTTTGTGATAGTGCCTAAAATACTCCTATAGTATTTTATCTTTATGTTTTGTTTTAAGGATACTCTTGTATATGGAGTTAAGTAAGTTTTAGGCTTGCTGCAACATCACTATCACTCCCAGACACATGTTGGTCATGTCTCAAATAAATATAGTTGATCAGGATATATTGATCCCAGACATGATTACATAACTATCCAGGTTTAACCGCAGTGTTCAACGTCCAAATACTTTTGTTTTGTTCTACTTATGATACTGTTTCTGGTACTTACGGATATTTGTAAACTCTTTATAAAATACTTATATTTTAGAAGTATACTTTTAGTTTAGAGCACTTCGGCCCTTTAGTGTTTATAGTTGTATACCATGTAAGGTTCGGTATACTTAGTTCACTGTAAACAATAGCTTTGATACCAATCTATCACACCCCCAAACCGAAACGGCGGAAACGTTCGGGGGTGGATGACTTCATGTATAGTATCACAACAATTGCATCATAGTAATCAAAGTAAACACAACCATTACATTGAATATATATAATAAGTGTTTACATCAGTTTGCTTCATATTTTTATATATAAAAGTATACAAATAGTAAAAGCGAGTCTTACTATCTCGTTTATCTCCGTAAAAGCGAGACAAGTCTTATCAAAGTCGTCGAGGTACATGTCTAATGATTTCCTAAGAATACAAGCAGTTTTGAAAAAAAGAGTATCAGCATAAAGCTGGTGAGTTCATAAGCATCTTTTTGTAATAAAAACCTGTTAATGAATCAGTGAAAATGTTTGTATGTTTCCAAGAAAATCCAATATTTTCTAACATGTAATTTTGTTATAAGGTTCCGTAAGTGTTTGTTTGAATGTTTATTTAACACCAGATTAATTGTATAATACTAATTTGAATGTAAAAATCTCTTTTTGTAAGAAGACCTTGGCTATCACTAGTATGAATAAAATGTTCTGTTTGAAAACCCTGGTTATTACCAGTATGTATAGTAGTTTTATTTCTCATAAAGAAAACATGTATTTTTCCATACTATGCTAAATAATCATTGTTCATGTAAAGTATATTACTACGTAATTATATCGTTGTTATCTAATTGCGAGTGTTATGACCATACTAAACTGATATGGCGCGAATCGGGCACCAGTATCCTTTATGACTTTGTCACCCGTAGACCTGTCGGTCCTACTGTAGCTAGCAGCAAGGTGAGGGATTGTCAGTCCCGTATAGATCTATACACAAACTCACGCTCTCCCTTGGGGAGATTCTGGATCATAAGGGTAGTCTTCCACTAGTACATGTAATTGTACCCAAAGACGTGTCTCTCAAACTAGATTAACGACATTACAAGTAATAATACGAGAAAACCTTTTTATAATTATTATTCATAAAAGATGTGTGTGTATGTATATGTATAACCATGTATTGCATTCCTAAACTATGCCGTTTATAGTTTGTGTGTATGTATATGTATAACCTTGTATTGAATTTCCAAACTATACCGTTTATAGTTTGTGTGTATGTATATGTATAACCTTGTATTGAAATCCCAAACTATACTATTTATAGTTTGTGTGTATGTATATGTATAACCTTGTATTGAATTCCCAAACTATACCGTTTATAGTTTGTGTATATGTATATGTATAACCTTGTATGAATTCCCAAACTATACTGTTTATAGTTTGTGTGTATGTATATGTATAACCTTGTATTGAATTCCCAAACTATATCATTTATTGTTTGTGTGTATGTATATGTATAACCTTGTATGAATTCCCAAACTATACCTATTATAGTTTGTGTGTTTGTATATGTATAATCATATATTGATCTGAAAACTATGTGGTTAAGCTTGTAAGTTGAAAACGTCCCTTATGCTCAGCATAATACAGAAGGGATAAAATGTCTAAATATTTTTATAAAAGTATAGAAACTGTATGTTGGTATCGATTGCATCCGTTTTAAGTTTATTGAAATCCTTTTTGTATAAATTTCATAAAACCATTTATGTTTGGCTTGTATTCCCCCCTGAAAACATTAAAAACTCGGAAAAATGTATGGTTATGAACTCACCTGCTGCGAGTGTTGCGTACGTAAGATTGGTTGCAGGAAGATAAGTTTTGAGTGAAGACTCGAGTATACACGGATCCTATTTAACATATAATGACATATATTTGTATCAAATTAGTGTATAATACAACTAGTTATGATAGGGAATCACCCTAGGGACTAGGAAACACTTGAAACTAAGTGTTAGAATCACATGTGATTGAATAAGGGAGGTTCACGGCCACACTTAGGTGTGTACGGCCATGGAGTGTACGGTCGTACACTCATGGTAAAACATGCTAAAGAGTGTCTTTGAACAATGGGGAAGCTAGTGGGTCGATTGCTCATCAAGAATATGAATTAGGTTCTCACTTTGGAGGCCCTTTTGGGGTGTTTTGAGGTGTGTACGGCCATACAAGGGTGTACAGCCGTACACTCCTTTTGTTCTTGCAAAATGGTCGATTTTTGGGTCTTAAATCAAAGGGGTTCAAGGGTTCAAGAGTTCTAATGGTTAACTAGCACCTAGCAAGTGTTTAAAGCCTCATATCATGGACTTAACAAGGGTGTACGACCATAGATAGAGTGTACGGCCGTACACTCTTGATGTTCTTGAGTTTTGAAGATGATTCATGGATGAAATCATGAATCCTTCCTAGATAATGAAATGAATCAACTAACCAAGGAAGAATACTCACTTTTCTTGAAGATCTAGGTGAAAAATCTTGATGATAGTTGAGAGAGAATCCGAGTTCTTGACTTGAAAGTTGAAGAAATGAATGAAAAATGAAGGGAAGGCTTATATATAGGGGTGAGTGTACGGTCATCATGGGTGTACGGCCGTACACCCATGTGTACGGCCGTACACTCCTCTTGAAGGAGTGTTTGGCCCGAAATGCAACACTATGACTTAAGGTAATTCATCCCTAAACCCAAGCCTTGGTTGTACTAGGCTTAGAACACTTATACAGGCTCTAAACAATGCCAAAAGATAGCGGAAATGAGTCTGACTTTGATTGAATTGAACGATTGAACAAGATAGAAATTTCGGGTTGTCACATAATTACCAAACAAAAAGTGTCCAAACAATATCTTTTTGGTATATATCATTTTAAAAAGTCCAACAATCAAATCGATCGTGACTAATCTAGACTCAATTCTCAGATTATATCTACGAGTATTACAATTGAAACTAATAACTTAACTATGTATAACTGACTAATTATAAGCAAAGTAAATTAATTAAGCTAAATTATTTATAAATTAAATTAAAGTGAATATCATTCTAATTAGGGATGAGCATTTGGACCGGGGAACCGGCTGGAACTGGTACCGGAACCGGAACTTGATGGAACCGGTCCGGCTGAGACCGGGACGATATTCTTGTGAATTTTTGAAACCGGGAACCGGTAGAACCGGCAAAAACGGGAACCGTATGTTGCTATTTCTTGATAACCGGTTCCAACATTGAAGACACGGCAAGAACCGGTAGAACCGGCGGTCCGGTTCGGGCCGGTTCCAGCCAGATCGGTTCCTTTGCTCATCCCTATTTCTAATGTTCTACGCAAGCCAACGTAAACTTGGCCACACCGATTTGTATTTGCTGAATAATTTATTTAGTTGCCGAAGTTGTATAAAGTGATTTCAAATCGGCATTGTACAGTTTGATTTGCTTACTTCTTCAAACTGTAGGTTTGGATGAAAAACAGCAAAAAATGGATGAGGATTCAGCTCCCAACATTCAAAACTTTAAACTTTGTGGTTGTAACTTGTAAGATTTTTCTTTTTTGGGCTCTATGTATAATCAATAATGGGCCAAACAGACATAAATCATAGTTCATCCCACATACTAGCAGTATCCGACCCATTGACCCAATGACCCAATTTCACATGTTTACCCAATACCCGATATGTAAGAGACTTCGACTCGAGTAACCCGTAAAACCCAAAACCCCATTTGCATATCTTCTCCATTGGAGACCACCGGCGTATCAAATGGATTCATCACCTTCCTCGCCGGCAACGCCGCTAAAAGCAGCTCACTTTAACATACAACAAGCGATTAATAAACTCCAAAACCAATGTTCTTCCTTTTTCCACAATCTCCACCACCAACACTTCTCCAGCACCCCCTTCGTTAACTCCAACCCTGACTTTACCAAATTTAACTTCGAATTTGCCGCGCCGGAGGTTGGAAATGTCTCTAAAAGGCCAACCGGTTCTCTATCTTTTGCAAAGAACCCTTTATGGGCTCGAATTGCCGCCGATAAGACTTTTGTCGGTGGTGGTGCTGGCATGTCGGATCAGGATATCGAACAGCGGTTAGCGGGTGTGCCCGTATACGCTCTCAGCAATTCTTCGGAGGAATTTGTTGTGGTTTCGGGTCAAAATCCAGTGAAGTCTCTAGGGTTATTCTGTTTCAAGGAAGAAGATGCCGAGACACTCCTTGGACAAATGAAATCCATGGATCCTAGAATGCGCCCAGGTTCGAAAGTAGTCCCCGTTGCTCTTAGCATGGTAAGTAATCTGAATTTCAAAATCACTGATTTTCAACTTGGCTTCGAAATCCTTTTTGGGGTTTTTCATTCAAGAATCCCACAACCACTTTGAACAAATGTTACAAATAGCATGATTTCTGTGTTAGTTTAGTAAGTAAATGCCATATCAATTAGAAAGCTTAAATCTTGTGATTCTTGTTGCAGGTTTTCCAGCTTAAAGTTAATGGGGTTTCCTTTAGGTTTATTCCAGAATCATCGCAGATCAAGAATGCAATTGAGGTGAGCAATTTCACATATAGACAACAGGGGTAGGTTATTCTATTCAAAGTAATTATTGTGTTATTGTATGCATAAATATGGGCCAATCAAATTTACTTATTTTTATAGAAAGTGATTAATATATATATTATTGAATTAAATATAATTGAAAAATATCATCTTAATTAACTACAAGGGTAATTTAGTCAATTAATATAGATTTAATAAAGGAAAATTGCATTTTTTTAGGGATCATAGATTCTATTAATTTTAAAAATTCGATTTTACGAATTATAATTCTTTTAATTCAGACATTCTGACAGAATATGTTTATGAGTATATTCAAAAATAAAAATATTCTTGAACCATAAATAATAAAAATATTCTTGAACCTATTTTTTGATAATGACTTTAAAAACTTCTTGTAGAATAACAAATTTTTGAACAATCAAATGACGAATAAAAACAAAAAATACATTATTTTTTTATAGAATACAGGTAACAATTGTTAAGAATTACATTTATTGTTAAAGAATAAAACTAAAAAAACTTTCAAAACGGGAAAGAAAACATCAAAATCTAACAACGACACTGATACATTCTAAAAAAATAATGTTGCTTAGAATCACTTTCAATTTTGTGGTCCGTTCTTCAAGCATCAACTTCTGTGAAAACAAAACAAAATTGTAGTTTAGATTCCAATAATACGTTAGCAAATGAAAAATAAAAAACTAAATTCCTTTGGAAAAAGATGTGGACTTGTGAATTGCACCAAAACCAATAAACAAAAATTGTAGAACATGCATAAATCAGTGATAAAATATCCATACTCCATTCCAACAGAATTAGAATTCATGATTCCATTCCAACAGAATTGGAATTCGTGATTCCATTCCAATAGAATTGGAATCTCACCAATATCATCCATTGAATCATCTACATAAACAAATTAATTCCAAATGAAAGAAGCATCAAAGCGTCTATGTATTTTACTAATCGTTCTAGACTTGTACAATTCTAATTCAAACATAACTAAAAATGAAATATAGTCACACAACTCAAAATTAAAAGTCTGAGTCTAATATATTAATTGAAACCCTTTCTTATCAGTTCTAATTGAAAGCCAACTTGCCTACTGCCCACTAAACAAATCTTTCAATCCAATTCGGATTCAAACCAAGTTTAAAACCCCTAAAATTATTCATGTTTAGATTGAAGTTTGAAGCCAAGACATGGGAAAATAATTAATACCATCGATGGTGTATCATTATCAACCAATTAAACCAAAACCAAAGCTATACACAAAAAACTTATACCCAATCACACACAAAGGAAATATTAAAACCACACACAAAAAGAAAAAAAATCGAATCACTTCTGTGTTTCTTCTTCTTCTTCCACGTTTTCTGTCAAACGATCAAACCAAACACAAATTCTTCCCTTTGATTTCTATCAAACATTCAAACAAAAACAAAAAGGGAAAAGGACCTGTTAACGAACGGAAGCAACACCCCATCCTTCCCTCTTCCCCTGTTGAACATCGAAACCAAACACAAAAAAAAAAAAAAAAAAACCTTATCGATCACTATCCAACATCAAACAAAAAAATAAATGAATCAAAAGGATTACCTGTTGCTGCTTCGTCCTTACCCTTCAATCCAACTATTTCCCAATTCCTTCGTGTTTATTTCCGATCGAACCAGGAGAAGAGCATCAAAGAACAGCCCCACCAAATCCTCGATCTGAAAACCCTTGATTCTACCTGAACTGTTATGGACTACATGTAAACAATCGTAATTCACAGAAAGGAATCACGATTTTTGTTGGGAAAGCGAAACCCTTACCTGCAGAAGCTGGCGACGGAGACGGTGCAAGTTAGAGGGTGGCGAAGACCAGAATTTGGAGATGGAGGAGAAACGAGTGGGAAGGAGAAAGAATGGAGGGCCGAAGATGCGTTATTTAGGGCAATAAAAGACGCCAAGGCTTTAATCTCCTTCCCTTTTCGCCATCGCACCGCCATTTTCGGCTTGGACTGCCACCGAACATCTTCTAGGGGTTGCTGTCACTTCGATCGACAAAAGAACGGAGGGATGAAGACGATGACCTGCTGTATATAAGAAAATAAATTAGGTTAAAAGTGAATGCTAGCGTGATTACAGGGACTATTTGTGGAAGCTATTTATCAAATTACTAAAATACCCTTGTTTATTTATTTAATTAATTAAATTTTTATTTAATTTTGATTGACCCACATTTATGCATACAATCACACAATAATTAGTTATAATACCTGAACCTATCTCTAACAATAATAATATTGTGATTGGCTTAGTATATCTAAAATAAAATCGATTTGAATTAATTGATAAATCTTGTCATGAAATGTAATCAAATACTATATATTATTATCGTTGTTACAATTATCAATTACTTCAATTATTTTGCATATTAGGCAAGACGCAAGGCTGGTGTATCAGATGACAGCTTCTCTGGTGTTCCTGTTTTTCAGGTTTATATTTATCTTTAGGTTATGGATTTTTATTCTATGTTTAAATACAAAAAATAGTAATATACTTTTATTTATTTATTTTTACTACAAAGAAATGAAAAAAGAATGCTATATATTTCATGTATCACATTTATTTTATTGTAAACATTTTATGGATGTAGTCAAAGAGCTTGGTACTAAGGAGCCAAAACGAAAGATATCGTCCTGCTTTTTTTAGAAAGGTTAGCAAAATTATCTTAATATTATTATTGCATACTAATAATAGTTTATTAATTAATTAATCCAAATTCTAAATTCATTCTATCTTTTTTACTACCATTTAGGAGGACCTTGAGAAATCTCTAGCAAAAGCTTCTACTCAACAAAGACATTTGAATCCTGCCCTTAAGGTGGGTGACCTTGAAGTCGCTGTTCTTGAGGATATAATACATGGCATGAAGGTTAGCAACTTAGCAATTTATCCTTTTTAATTGTTTTTTACTCATTAAGAATTGTTTGAATAAATGGTGTAAAAAAGTTGGGAGTTAATGGAAATGGCTTCATTTTTGCGGTTTTTTTAATTAAAGGGTTGTATCTTTTTTACTTAATTTAAATACTTTATTTTTGTTTATATAATTTCCCTTAATATTGTGCAATTTGTAATTTAGAAAATGTAAGGGTAAAATGGTCATTTAGTCTTATTCACACAGTTTATTCGGTCAAGAAAAGAAACAAATGATAATGTATACAACACTTTATCCATACATCGTAATCATGACCCATTATTGGAAAAAAAATCGTTAAGTCGTTTTTTTTGTATTAAGTAAAAAAGAAACATATGTATTATATATTTATGAGCAAATTACACGAATGGTCTCATTGGTTTGGGGTAATTTGTACGTTTGGTCCCTAACTTATTTTTTTAACTCAGAAGGTCCCTACTGTTTGTTTTTGTTGTGCGCTTGGTCCCTGTCTTACCTAATAAGACTATTTTGCCCTTGATTTTTTAATTTATTTAAATAAACACACACCCAACCCCACTTCCATCTCATTTTACCTTACCTTACCTACCCCACCTTATTTTAAATAAATTAAAAAATCAAGGGCAAAATAGTCTTTTTAGGTAAGACGCAGACCAAGCGCACAACAAAAACAAACTGTAGGGACCTTCTGAGTTAAAAAAATAAGTTAGGGACCAAATGTGCAAATTACCGCAAACTATAGGGACCATTCGTGTAATTTACTCTATATTTATATATAGCTTAATGGATTAAGTCATGTCTTTATTGTGTAGGATGATTCTACAAGTGCTTGGGATGATGTTGTGTTCATTCCTCCGGGTTTTGGTTTTGATGGTTCAACTGACCAATCAAGGGAGTAGGAATTTAATTATAAAATTGTGATGGAATTTATTAAGTGTGTTAAGTAGTGTTTGGTATGATGGAGTTCGGGAAGGAATGGAATAGTTCATTCCATAGGAATGAAAAAAACGTGGGAATGGAATGAATATTTGCAGTAATACCATATATACTTGTGTAATTTGTATTCATTTTTTTTTACTAGTTCTATCATATTTTTTGGTTCCAAAACCACACCAAGGATACAAAAGTGATAGCATATCACGTTTCACAAAACGAAATCAATATTCTACAAAGAATGTTTTTATTTTGTGAACTGGAAATTTTGAAAAAAGTGACAAAACTAATATTAGATGCTAACGAAACGCATATTTATGTTACTAAAGAATTAGTTGTTGATTAAATGTTATTTCATCACCAAATCCTTGCGAATAAGTTTACAATCAAGAGAATCTTGGGGACAATCTCGTGAACGCATGCAAGATAGTGACACAAAACAAGTAAAAAAATTAGTAATTTTAAAGACATTTCATAGAATTGATGGTCGATTTATAACAATTTACTAAAATTTGTCATTTCATAAAATGAAACATTTACTTTGGACATTTTTAATGATTAATCTAATGCTCTTTTATAAATTAGAGAAATTTTCATATAAGTATAAGACTACAAGGAATCGTCTCAGCAAGATGGTCGGTAGAGCCGATGTGGCTCGGCAAATACCGGGCCATGAGCTCGGCATGCCGAGGTCAAGAGGTCAACTCGGTAGGTTTTTGTCATGATTCTCTCCTCCGCTACTAACAAATAAAAGGCTAGTTTTTAATTCTTTTTCCATCTAAAACCACTATAGATACCTACTAAACCATACCATTTTGCATCACACCAATACTAACCTTCTCGCAATTCGTATGTTAGCATATGTCACCCCACTTGACGGGTTACATGAGAATCTTAGGATGTCTTCACGTACCACTTGACATAGTCTCTACGAAATTTGCAAATATGTTCTTAGGTTGTACGACAAATATTTATGTTAGCTCACTTACAATGGTATTTGACAATTATATGTTCATCATGCAAATGTACATGGTTTTTCTGAAATGTTAGAAAGTTTGGATTGCTTCCACCGGGAATAGGAAAACTTCCCAAATGCACACCATGGTCAATACACACGAGGAAATTATGGTTATCCAATGGTCATACTTGAAATAGTGACGTCACAGGATATCCTCTCTAATAAATGAAAATAATTTTGACACTTGTCAATCTCTTATGAGTTTTGACACTTGTCATTTTATGGTATTTTTGAAATAAATATTATCTACTTGTCAATTTCTGGTTTATTTCGATTTTAAAATTTAAGTCATATACTTATATATATGTAAAGTATTAAATATAATATATATAAAATTAAATTGCAATGAATAAATTTCTTTCTTTCTTATTTTAAAGTTTTACATTAAAAAATATTTACAGCTTACACTTTAATGTTTAATCTTTTTTTTTTTAAATTAACCCATGTAATACACGAGTCTCACACCTATTTCAACAACATATACGGTGAAACTGCACAAGATTTCTTCATTCGAGATGCGTGGAACACTATATAGAAACGAGTATTATCTTGTCGATGCGATCTATCCAGAGTGTTTTGTATTTTCTAAAACATTCACATGCCCTAATGATAATGAAAGAATTTTTTTTAAGAAAACCCAGGAAAAAGGGAGAAATGATGTGGAACGAGCATTGTTGGTGGATTTTAAAAAACCTGATACTTTTTGTAGATGAGAATAAACTTGCAGATATATGTTTACATGTATCATATTACTTAATATGATTCTAGAAGACAAATGAGCAGTGATATGTGAGTACGATGAAAACGCAAATCGTTCTAGTGACACAACCATTTGAGATTGGTGGGGAAGAATATATGACTAGAAGAGTGGCGATATGTAATCTTGAAGTCCATCACGATCATCGTAGCAACTTGGTGGAACATATTTGAACTGTTAACCACGTTGATTTTGTGGAACCCGAAGACGATTTGGCGGACTAATTTTCAGACGAATACTTTATTTAATTTTTATTAGTTTCCCATTTTTAGTTTTTAAATTATGAAAATTTTAATTTATCGTTAGATATTCCTTATTTCAATTTAATGGAAATTATTTTATAATTATATTTGTTAAAATAAATAAATTAAAAAGAACAAATATGTAACAAAATGACAAACCATTCCGTTCGAATAACAAAAAATCAGAAAAATATAACAAAGATTAAACGTTTAGATTAAAAAAAAAAAACACTATGTCAAATGTTATACGAGTAATACGACTCCCGGCCTAAAATTATATTTTTTCCTCAAATTAAACGTGAATCTCCCCCAAGAAGTTTATCCTTGACTCGTAACATATGGATAGCCTCTTGTTATCCGTGACATGACATGGCTCCATATCCTTCCAAAATTTAGGCTTTTCATTGGTCTTCATCATTGTTACTTCAACTTTACTTCTTAAAAATAATAGTGCAATTATTTTATGCATAAAACTATATAAAATTATAAAATCCTACCAATTTTGGTCTCAGTTTTGGTTCAGTTCATTGAACTTGTCTTTACTTCCTCAACTAACCAATACACCTACAAGAGAAGCTAAAGTTGTTTCATTTTAAGGATATTTTTGTTTAAATTTATTTATTTATATACCGACAATCATTAGATAATATAATTAAAAATTTAAAATGATTATGATCATGGCATGCAAAAATTTTCAATCTTATATTATTGAAAGAATACGAAAACCGTGATCGAATATAACTTTTAGGTTTTGAAAAAAAAAGAGTAAATAAAAGATTAAATATAATAATTTGTATCACGAGTCACGAGTGATGCAGTAAATTCTTTGCTTGTTCATGTCACATCGATTCCTTCTCTCTTATCCAAATTGAAGATTTTAATATAATATATCGATGAAAATGCTGTCATAAAATGAATTTTACATGTGTTTAATTCAAAACATATTTTAATAATAAAAAATAAAAACCTCCTAGACTAAAATTAATATCATTTATATGTTAAAATAAAATGATAGTGGATAAATTAGATGATAATTGTATACTAAATTAATAACATAAAAAGTCATTTGAATATCTAATTAAGATGAGACTGATAAAAATATATTTAAAAAAATTAAGAACAGAACTATATTTTTGTAGTTTTATATAACACTGTATAAGACAATAAACATAAGTTATTATAATAAAACCTATGTATTTGACGTTCATAAACTAGCTTATAAATTATCTTATTTTTTAAGTTTATTATAATTTATTGTTTGGTAAAAAAATAAAAAACAATTTATTATAACTTATAAATACTATAGAAGATCACAACCAAAACTTTATTCTTCTTCTATTTTGCCCTCTCTTCTTTCTGTAGTTGCATGTACACCATTGTTAGTGTGGAAGAAAATGATGGTGAGAGAGATAAAAATGACTTGTACACCATGATTTTTTTAAATTAGTTTTTTGATAT